ATTTGTGGTAGAGCTGGTCTTAAATAAAAATCTCTGTCCCTCTCCATGCCCCTACACTGTGAGCAGGTGGGTTATCTCCTCTAGCAGTGCCCTGCAGCACATGGATTTTAGGAGAATCCAAATCTGCATATCAAGACATCTGTACCTTCAATAAGCAGTCAGGACTCCCCAGAGAAGCTGAGCTCGCTGTCTGTTGGCAGAGCAAGAACAGGAACATTTTTTAAAGGGCACCAACACATCACTCAGTGTCTCAACTCTTCCCTTTTTCCCTGCTAGTGGGTGCTAAGGTGACCTGATCTTATGACATTTTAAAATGTATTCTTCCTCTAGATTTGGGGCTACGGAAAATAACCTGGACAGCTGAATTTTAAACCTCAGCATTTTATCTCTTACTGACATCACTGATTTTGAAAGCTTTTTTTTTTTTTACCCAAAGTCCACTTGGGGTTTCTTTTGGTTTTGTTTTTTCTTGACAATATACAGCTTTGAGAAAAGACCTGTTTGTTTTTCCACAGGAAAGCACTGGCACAAGTGTAACTGCAGAACACCTCTGTGGGCCACTGCAGAGGACTTTGGAGTCTGGAGACGGTGATTCCATGCTGAAACATCTGAGGTTTCCAGCATCACAAGGCTCCCAAGATTGCTATTACCTTTTCCATAATTTCTAGCTTTTCACTCAAGTGACCCACTTAGCCAGGCTTGAGCATTAGTGCCTTTCTCACCATCATCCCAAAGGAACCAGCATGACCTCACAACACAACAGTAGCTCTTATGACAGCCATAATTTTATATATATATATAAATAAATATAAAGATATTTCCATTACAAACAACTAAATTGATGGAGGAATACTGACATCTTTAAGCAAAACGTTACATTGCTACTTTTGCAAACCAGAGGCAATGCTGGAAAACCTTTTTTTTAAAAGGAATGTGATTTCTAGGTGTATTCTTGGTGGCAAAACAAAAATTCAAGGACACAAGATGCTGTTTATTAGTTCACAGTGAGTAAATTGGCTCTGATAGCATTCACACCTTTTAGGCATGAAATCTTGAGGTCTTAAAACCATCCATTTCCTAAATTACTTTTTGTATATGGTAAAATTTTCATGCTCTTACCACACAATGCAAGATCTCTCTCTTCAGTCACTGTGCACAACTCCCAAGAAAAAAAGAGCCCACTCCCCCACCCATTTTTTTGCTTGCAGTTCTAAAAATCTTTTATTGTGTTACATTGAAAGACTTTAAAAATCATCTCCTGGGAATCCTGTAGCATTTCATGCCCAGGTTGATACTGCTTGGTTGTCCCACTATGACAATGTGTTTACACATTTTAAAATGTACTCTCTGACCTGCAGGCAGGAAAAAAAAGGTTTCCTTCTCCTACTGAAAAGCATTACTGAAGACATCTTAACAGGAAAACACCCCATGATTCTGTTATTCCTTGTTTGTGTCAAAGATGGGAACCTCTCAGAGAGACAGGAACTCATAACAGAGACAGAATGTAAATGCTGGAGAATTGATCAACATTTACAAACCCCCATTTGTTTGTACGTGCAGAAGGTAAATACCTTCTTCAAGAAAATGCCCACAGTTATGGGAGTTCTCATATTAATAAACCAAAGAAAATCTGGCCCTTAACAGGAAACACTTGTGAGGGTCTGAAAAATATCAGTGTTGTGGACAGTGACAAATATTGCTGGAACCTTATGTTTTATGAGAATGATTTGTTAATTGTTCAATGCAGGCGTTGCTTGATGGAAAGAAAACATTTGTGATGCCTCTGTGGTCCTATTAAGACTAATTAATTCTTTTTCCAAGTGAAATCAAGACTAATTAGACTCTGATATTAATTTCCTATTTGTCCTGAGCTGCCAATTTTCATATCACCCTGTTGCAGCCTGTGCTTGTGTGTCTGTGCTTGGGGATGTCAGTGTTTGTGTGACAGGGTGGTAAGATGATATAAGACAATTCCTTCTACTTTCCTCACTGACAGCATGCGAGTCCAGCTTTCTACTTCTAAGGTATCTCCAGCCTTCCTAGTCCTGTGTTTCAGCCAGTCCCTCTTTCTGAATGTTTCACAATGACTTTCAAAGCTGTGTGTCCAGAGCTGTAAGTCTGACCATCTCTTCTGTGACTGGCACTGCTGTCACTCTTTCTTCCTCCCACAGTCCTGTTTTATCAATGGCAAAACTGTCTCCTCTGACGTGGGGAACCATCTTCATTTCACCTTGGCACAAGTATTTTGTCCATGTCCAAAATTAATATTATTCCTTCTAATCTTATTTTTTTCTCTACTATGTTGCCTTATCTCATGTAACCATACCCTCTATTTTATTTTAGTCACATCTCTTCGATGTCCACACCACCTGTTGCAGTGCATGGAGAAGTTCACAAGCAAGAGTCTCTGTATTTTTGTTCTAACTAATCCTCATTTGTTTTTATTCTTGTCACCGAGTGCAAGTGTTACCATCTTTAACACACATTTAATTTGGGTTTTTTTCGTAATTATCTATTATCTTCTTCAGTGCTATTCTGGATCTGTAGAATGCTTCTCTAAATCTTTGACAGTGAAGTCTGTAAATACTTTTTGTCTCCTATATGTCTAAATACTGCTGTCACACCTTTATTTAATGGTCTGAATAATAGCAGAATAGTTGAATGCCAACAGTAAGAAAATGGTTAAAATTCCCTTTAAAAAACTAACACCTCAACAAAGAATTCTCTGTGAGAAGAGTAGTGCCAGTGCTTTACTGACATCCAGAGAACAGGAGCAATTTGAAGCCTCTAATACTGCACACGAAAATAGTTTGGGGTTTTTTTCCAGGTTTTCTTTTCATCTTCCAACTTTAATAACCTTATTATAAGAACCTTTATCTTCCAACTTTGTTATCTCAAAACTGTTTCCTATGAAAATAAAGCTATATGACAATTAGTTTTGTCCTGGAAAAAAAATGCCATTAGAACTTTCATCTCTGCAGGAGTCCAGGTGTCTGTGAGGGCAGTGCTGGATGGACCTGAGGTTAAAATCCTGCCTTGTCTTTCTATCTCTTGCCTATGACGGGGCAAAAGGAAACAAGGCTTAGTGTCAGTGACTTTTCAGTTTATTCTGCATGCTCTCTCCCTCTGAGGATTCCTGGTTTGTTCCTTTTGTGCTGTGGTTCTCCCTTCCCCTTACAAAAAAGCCAAAGCTGTTTGTCTGCCCTGTGGGGGAATGTGAGCAGTGCCCCGAGGGTCCTCTATCAATGCCCTGCCCTACATTGTTTGAGAGCAGTAATTCACGGCTGGTGTCAGTGTCTCCCTGCCCTGCTCGGCAGTGAAGTGACCCCGGGCTCACCCTGCACTGGCTGCTACTGCATTTAGTGGGTGGGGACCCACTTGTGTTAGCTGGAGACGCTGTCTTTGACGGTCTTTACAAACCGCTGTCCTCAATTAATTTACAGATGCAAAGCAGGTTTTCCTTGGTGAGATGTTGTACAAGTACCACTTCATCCGGAGTGACCCTCACCGAGGATGACACAGCCAGTAATCAGATGTTAAGTCGCTGTTTTCTATGGTTTTCCCTGCATTTTTTACGTCGTGTTTTTCGTTGCCGTTACTTAAGTTTTGCTGCCTTATTTGGTCCTACAGAGCTGTACTTTACATATCCTCACCTTCTCAGGAGATAAAGTAATTCTAGTGCTTTTAATTAAACACTAGCACTTCTGCCAATTCTTCATGATTTAATATATCCAATACCATTAACATGTGATTAACCTAGGTCAACATATCCTTGAAAGAGAAAATCTGAGTCTTAAATGCAAGAATTTTCACTTTCAAATCGTATCTGACTCTTATAACAGACTAATGAGCACAAAAAGGTGCACACAATAATAACTGAATACCTTAGCCTTCCTGTCTCACAGTATTTCCAAAACATTTAAAAGAGGCATAGAGATCTGTTCACTTTTCTGCTCTGGATCCCACAGGATTAATGGTAAAGAACGTGGCTGTCAGAGTAAGGATCAACATTTGGGTTTAAGATTGAGCCCTGCCAAAATGACACTGTAAAAGACAGTCACCAAATGAAATTTTGTGAGATGAATAGGAAGATTGTAGAGTCTTTTGCAGTGAGTTCTCACATGTGTAGGTCATGATTTTATTTGCAGAGTAACTCACCTCTTTTGGATCTTACCACTCCAAAATGAAATCAGGGCATTTGAACCTGAACATTCTTCTTCTCAGAACACAGAAAAAGGATCGAATTCAAAATTAATTTCAGTCCAGGAGGAATTAAGAGGAAGGTCACAACATACAAAAACCGGTTATTTGAAATTATGTGTTTAAAATGTTACAAGTGAACTGTCCATGTCTTGCAGCTGAATTTCTCTAATAAAGGGAATTGTCAAGTATCTTCGCCTGCAGGGTGAAGGGCGCTGAGGCCTGGGTGACACAGGCAGAGCTGCCCCTGGGGAGAGGAGGCACAGTGGGGTAATGGGAACAAGAGGAGGGCCAAACAAACTGCCCCCACAGAGTGTTAAGGGAAAGCACCACAGAAATGCACTTCCTGCAGGGATCATGGTTTACCTACAGAGGATCTTTTAACAGAAAGATCTTATTGAATAATTCCTACATATTTGATGAAACAAAAAAACATCAGCAGTAACCTAAGTAGGTACCTGCTGTAACATGTTTGTCTTGGATGTCAGATACACTTGTGCCTGAATAATTCTAACTTTGTTGAAGTAAAACTGAACCATGGATGATTCATTCCATATCCCATTTCTATTGTAAGGCCTGTACAGGACAGAGTTACTGTAGTTTCTCTATACCACTATGGAGTAACATTTGTTTCAACTGGTATTGTACAAATATCTTCTCTGGAAATAATGGTTTTCTACATTAAAGTATTTAAATATAGTCAGCCATTGCCTTTTCTTCTAAAATGCATTCAATAAAGGTAGATCTTATATAGGATTAAAAATCTGATATGCCAGTTCTTAGTAACATTTTATACAATGATCCCAAAGGCTGTTTAACACAGAAATCTGTCTTTATTACACTCAGAGCCAAGTTTGGCTTTGCATGTGCAAGTGACGTTCCACTAAAGCCAAGTATTTTGCCGCACAGCATCGTGTGAATTAATCTGAGATGGAAAGCTGGCAACTTCCATTCTTCTTCACTGTTTACAGAAAGTGTACTCATGCTGTATTCCTTGCTTCTGAATGCAGAGGAGTCAATAATTTGTGCCAGGATCAACAACTCAATTAAAAGGAATTTAAGGATGGAAGAGACAGAGACACAACTGCTCCTCACAGGAGAACAGCAGTGTGGTGCCACTGCCTGCTGTGGATTGGAGAGGGGAACACAGACGAGAAGGGACTCACCTTCTGGCTGGGTGTTTGCACCTGCAGAGCCAGGGAGCTCCTACATGCACTGAGGAGCTGGAACCTCCGGTGCCCACAGCAGTATAATGTCCCCAGAGACAACATATTTTTATATTAGATGGCTGTAACACTGAAATACACTTTAGCACTGCGTTAACAATCATATCTCCCACTCTACATGGGACGAATTTTGTTTTCTGAGGATGCTGAATGAGCAAAGGCTTGGCAATTTCCACGTTCATCTCCAATTTTCCTTTCAGAAGAGGTGCTACGAACTGCCACGGTGGACATCTGGCTGCCTCCCCTGTCCGGGGTTAGCACTGCTCTCTCTGAAGTTGGGTTCGTGTTGGACTCTGCAATTCCCGTGGCATTGCAACTGAACATTTGAATCAGACACTTCCTGAACTAGAAAGGTGAAAAAAACAGGAGGTCAATCAAAACACATGAGAAATTTTAAAATAGTTCTATAAATCAGTCTGTGTGTTAGCTAAAACTCTTAGAAATTATCTACAAATCAGTAGAGAAAATAAAGAAATAACCCTATAAAATGTATTTGCCCATGCCACCATGAAGAACTCTAAACCTAATGATGTTCTAAAAAGACCCAAACTATTTTCCTCTTCTGCTTGTAGTTAACCACATCTAAGGGACAGAACTGGTCATTTCTTCCAGACTCATGAGTTGCTTTCATACACTAAATCCCAGCAATTCAAAGGTGGGTTTTCTGTTGTTTGCATCCACACTCAGGGGAAGAGCAGCACCTTCCCCGCACTGGGAGATCAGGGTGCTGTCCACAGCATGAGGGACAAGCAATAGCTGTCTGACTGAATAAATAAATGTATTCACCACTTCTTATTCAGCAGTCACTTCACTGTTTTTCTTCTTTTCCCTTACATGCTCATACTCTGCTTGGTGGCACCGCTCTCAGTACTTTAATTAACTGCAGAAATCCGTGCGTGTGTGTTACCGTGCCTGTTACCACTGTGAGCGCACAGAGCTCCAGCCCAGCCCCACGGCACTCCTTTTTCTCTGCATCTGATCCTCTGCCCTCATTCCAGAGAAGAAAACTCCCTGTCCATGGGCACATGCAGTGCTTCTACTACCCCACTGCACATACAACTGCAAATGCAGCATTTCCCTAACACAAATTCAAGCTTTCAAAACTTCCACCCCACCTCAAAATCAACTTACTGGTGTTGCATTCCTGAAGAATTATTGAAATACACTGAGACAGTCCTTAGAACAGGATTTTCATACAGAAAACCAACTGGCGTTCACTAAGGGCTGATTTTCCTTTATAATATCTAAACCTAATAATTATTAACACGTATTTTAATAATGCACAGAGGCTTATGCTATCTTACAGCAGGCAGATTATTTTTTTTTGTTCAAAATGCTGTATATTGTAATGTTTGTTAACTAACAGAGAGGCAGGTAGAAATAATCCACTATAAAGAAAGATAAAATAGCAAAATATGAGCATTAAAGACATTTTGAGAGCATACAGTACCTGTTTGTTCATAAAGACATAAATAATTGGATTATAAACAGTAGCTGTTTTGGAAAAGAAAGCTGGGATTGCTGCCAGACAAGGATCCAGCTCAATGGAGGGGTCTGCAGTGACGAGGATGGAGAAGGCGGCGTACGGCATCCAGCAGATCAGAAAAGCAACGATCATAACGACCACCATTCTGGTCACTTGTCTTTCCGGTCTCCTGGTAGTTCTGAGCCTGCCCTGTGTTTCTGATACCTTTAAAGAAGAGAGAAAAGATTCTAAAAAACAAAGAACAAGGCCTCCAACAGCAGCTTTAGTGAGTGGGGCAGGGACCTGCCATGCTGGGAGGAGAGACCTGCGCTTCCCAAATGTGGCAGCACAGGAGGAGGCTGCTACTGACCACAGGCTGTCACAGTTCCTGCTCAGGGACAGGATTTACCCTATACTGGTGATAGCAAACTTTCCTTTGCTTAAGTATTGGTTTATTTTTATGCAATGTAATGTCGGTTTACATGGGAAGTAATTAATGATAACTCTGTATGGCTCCAGAAAAACCTGATGCCAGGTCTTAAAATAATGCACGCTAATGAACTAAGATTTTTTGGCATAATATGGCCTTTTAACTTCCTGCAGTAATGTTAGATCTCTATGGAGACATTTCCCCTAATAACCCTTGAGCTGCACTCAGAGAATTCAACATATTTAGTACTTCAATAGGTATAGAAGCACCTCCTGGGGAGGGGAGTGTCCTCATCCCTGTAGAAAGTTGCAATTCATGATGGTTTTTAAGTTGTTGTTATGTAACATATATATATATAAAACATATATAACATAAGTACTATGTTGCTATATAATAAAATAATAGTAACAATAACAAATTGTTATAACTGCTACAAGTTCTAAGGCATCAGTGAAAGCTGTGTTAGGTATTGAGCAAGGCTAAGACATTCGCTGTCAATATATGACATTTCTATAGCATTTTTTCACCTGTGCTGTACCTACACAGAGAGCAGCCCAGCCTCTCTTTCAGCAGAAGTACAATCACCCTGGGGAAGGAACACAATCTCCCTGATTGCATTTTCAACTGTTTCATCTTTGTCTCATCTCAGCCTGGCCTTTTTCTCAGCTATGGCTTCTCCTCTCTGTCTAAAAACTGGTAAGGAACCACGTACTGGTGCTTTACCTTCCAAACAAAGGAAATACTGCCAAAATAATTCACCTCTGTGCTAAACTTTGATAATTTCTTGAAAATTAATTTCTTCCATCAACTTTGCAGTTGCAGTGAAAGCTACTACTGGCTCTGTAAAGCTGGGCTCACAGGGACTAAGGGACTGGCAGACTTTACTAAGACAGAACTGTGCCACTCGGGACCAAGTCTGCATTGCGGCAACCACTGGACATGGCAGCCAAAATCTGGGAAGAGGGATGGTTGGGAAGACCAAGACACCAGTTCTGGTGTCTGAGCCTCTCTCTGTTCACTGCAGTCAGATTTTTGAAAACGAGCTTAGCTGTGAGATATGGTCATATGGTAATTCATTATAGATTTACAGACAATGTTGCAGGTATTGGCTTTTCAGAGCCAAAGGCCAGGACTGACATAAACCAGATGGTTACAACTACATCACCTGTAATGTGGCCCCCTGAGGGCACCCCTGTTCCCTGGCTGGGCCATCCACCAGGTCCCTGAGCTGCGAGGGAAGCGTGAAACACACAACTCACCCAGAAGTGTGATTTTTTAAATAACACTGCTATTTCTTCTGGATAACAGAGAGAGGAGTGAGAAAGACAGCCTAGTGAGATCACACCAGAGTGGCTGCAGGCCACGCTGGCACACACTACATGGCACTGATCAGCCTTCCAGAAGACACCTTGACTTGACTCAAATGGCAGAATGGGCCATTCATGACGTCTGCTGTGACTGACGGTGACATTTTCCAACAGTGCCTCCCTTGCTCCCCATCTCACCTTCTTTTTTTTCACTTGCAGACTTTTAAGAGGAAGGAAATGGTCCTTTCTGTGCACCTCCTAAAGCACCTGAGTAACAGATCAGCCACTGCTCTGGCAGTCCCATGACCGGGGCTGGATGCAAGTGGTCTCACTGTCCTTTACACCCCCTCTGTTGGGGTAATGTCCCAGGCCATCCCACACCATCCTGGTATGGGTTCCCCTACCAGGAAGAGTCTCCTGGAGGTGTCCCTGTCCCCTGGGTCCTCAGGGAGAGCCCTGTGTCCCTGGCAGGAGTAGGAGATGGAGGTGATTGCTCTGGGCTGTCCCTCCCTCCCCACATTGAGCTGGTCCCCAGTGCTCCCCCTTCATCCCATTTCCTCTGCAGGTAGGGCAGGACAGGTGAAATAAAATACTGACAGAAATTCTGGATATTTAGAATAACAGAACCATAGTTTTACAAATTCTCTTAGGAAAGCCTGAGTCCTCAGCAATGATTTTCTTCAGGTACCTCCATATCCTGCTCTTCAGGGCCCCCCTCCCTGGCAGGCACCAGCTGCCCCCCCTGCCATCCACATCCCACCTCTTGTGTTTAATTCTGAAATCTGCCTCTCCCAGCCATTCAACCTTCTCTCCCCTGAAAGAATCCATGAGGAAATCAAGAGAAATCCTTTCAGAAGAATCACAGTGTCACCCAAAGTTCCCTTCGGTTTCATTTTACTTAGAAAGAACAACACTCAAAATAAATACAATAAATTGGACAATCCCAAATACTTTCAAAACATCAGTAAATCGAAGAAATTCACTGAATTTATTACTGAAGCAATAAGGCAAGGCAGCTTTGCAGTAAATAGAAATATTAATATTGTCCCAAAATATTGTCCCAAAATCCATTTCCAGATACGGATTTTCCTATTCTATTGTCTTCTTTTTCACTTTTTGCTGCTTCTCCTTTGAATCAGGTGAACATAACCATTAAATAAAATTCAAAAGCATTTCTCAAGCCCTTAAAATATTCCTGGACAATCTAATATTTTATTTACTAAACAGCACTGCATTATTTACAAATCCTACATCTCCCTCTGCATATAATTGTTACAGACCAGTAGCCAGCAGTCTTAAAATTTACTCAAAATGTCATTTTAAGCTACATTCTGATTTGCCTGGTTTGAGTCTTAAGAAATGTCACTGAATTTGAAGTACAATTGTGACTAAACCAATACTTGGTCATTCAGTTTCTTTATTTATGAGGCAGACATCCTTTCACTTGTATGATGTTTGACTAATAAGATGTACTGATAAGTGATGCAAACGACACACTTTGAGAAACCACTTCTAACCATGGCACACATTTCTGTGTGTAGGGATCATTATATAACAAGGGATGTAACAGAGTGTGTTTGCTGCCTGCAATTCTGATCTGCTTGGGTCTGATCTTTCTAGAAAGTCAGACTTAAAAATCCCAAACATGAACATTTTAAAAGTTTACTTATAAGTGCTTCTTCTTACCTTTTTTAGCTTCTGCACCAGTTTTCCATAGGATACCAAAATCACCAATAAAGGCACTATAAAACAGGTGGTGAAGAACACAATAATGTATGTATGGTCAGCATAAGCTCCTGAGTACCTGTATAAAATACAAAATACATTGTGCATGTATTACTAATACTTGGTGTTATTATTTTCTTGAAGTAGTAATTTTGCCCTTCAAAGCTGTCACTAATATTTTGGTCAACTGCTTTTATTCTAAGTGCCCCTTTACAACTCTAGTTGCATCACCAGATGGGAGTCCTGTGCTATTTCCCTGCCCCGAGCTAGGACAGGATCCTATGGCCACAGGTCAGTCCCACAGAACTGTGGGGCTCAGCAGGTGGGAAGGGACATGTAGTCCAACCTCCTGCTCCAAGTGGAGCCAGCTGTGGGGTCAGACCAGCTTGCTCAGGGCTTTGTCCAGTCTTCTGAGAAAAATCTGTCCATTTGTCCTCTTTGAGTCCTGACGAAAAAAGCTCAAGGTATAGGGTGGTTCTTTCCATTAGAGATGTGAGAGTGGCCTTACCAGTTCAGCTCACAAGTAGTTCCAATCTTACTGGTGGTGTAGCTGCTCCAGCCCATGGTTGGTGGAACGGTCCAGACGAAGGAAAAGGCCCACACACAGACGATGCCCAGGGCTGCGTGTCTGCCCTCCAGGCGCAGGCTCCCCGAGGGGCGGCAGATCACAACGTACCGCTCGAAGGCCAGCAGGGCAAGGGACCAGAGAGCAACGATGCCTGCGACAAGAAGACAGCATCACAAGTTGGGCAGATTCACCGAAATGCAAATGCCGTCCCAAATCGCAGAATCACAGAACTGTTTGGGTTGAAAGGCATCTCTGGGGGGGTCACCATCCCTCCTCCCCACTCGAGCATGGTCCACATACCGGGTGGTCCAGGACCAAGTCCAGCTGGGCTCTGAATGTCCCCAGAGATGGAGATTCCACAACCACTCTGGGCAGCCAGTTTCAGTGTCTGACCCCCCACCACATTAGACACCTTTTCTATTGACCCGAGTTATGAAAGGATGTGCAATTTATGTGCTTTATTCTAATATTAATTAAGAGCATAAGAATTTCATATTTGTCAGTCTGCAGTATAATGGCTACAAAACCAAGCAGCTAATTGGGCCAGTTAAGTGAGTATGACTTTCATTTTTCATTTGGTTCTACTCTGAAAAGCTGCAAATTATGTGTACCATCCAAATTAATCAATTAAGAGATATCTTCGAAAGGCTATCATCTTTACAAAAAATGTGCTATTTCAAACTGTCATAAAACTCAAATCTACAGAGAGAGCTGCCCACAACATCAAATTATCAGTTTATTAGGCACATAACACCTGGTTGGCCACCAAAACCTTGAAACAGCCTCATCTTTCTCCATGCGACATGGTTTATGTGCCACAAACTGATTTGGTGACACTGTCCCTCACTGACATTCCCTCTGTGCAGCTCAAACAGGTGGAGAGCAGCTTTGGGGCTCCTTTTCAGGCTGAGGATCAGCACTGTGTGGGGTTTAGGGCAGCGAGGAGCATTACTGGCTGTCTTTATGCAGCTTCAGAAACAGGGGCAGGAGGCAGGAATGAGTGTCTGTCTCAAGCAAGATGTCCCGTTTTAAACTGATTTCCCATTTATTCTGCAGAGCTGTATTTACACAGGGAACTACATGGTGATGATTTTTCCTTTTAGAGTACTTTAATACTTTTTTGTAGTTAGTGAACAAAGGAATGAAAAAAAAAATCACAAAAAGCTGTAGGTGTGTGCAGTGGCTGTTACAGGTGTGCCTCTGCTCCTCAAAACCGCTGCAGGGTAGGGAACATAAAGAGTTTTCTGTGCCCTGAGATTTTCCCCAGTTTATGGGCAGCCACTCACTCTTTTTCTCTCTCTCTTATTCACCCATATATGCACACAGCTAAATACAAATACTGAAAATAGTTATGGATAAGGATCTTTCCCCCTGAAATTGTTTTACCATAAACCCCACAACACTGTTATCCTACTGGCAAGCTTTTCTGCATTATATGAAACACATTCAATGACCAGTAAACATGGGACAGGTCATGTATGCAACCCAGAGAGAGAGAGATTTTTCACTTGCACAGATATTTTTCAATATATTTCAAAGTATATGTTTCAATACAGAATATCTGGGGAAAGCACCAGTGAATTCAAAGGCATGCAAAGGCAGTGACTTGGGGAGCTGCAGTGAAATACATTGAAGGAAGTTGGAGCAAAACAACTACACAACTACAAACACAATCAAGCTTACCAAAAAATGTGACAGCAAATCCTTCCAGTACACAAGCCCAGTATCCCATATAAAAATAACCTCTCAGATTTGTTAGAAAGCTGATGGTGCCACCCGTCAGCGAGACCAGGAAATCAGCCACAGACAAATTGACTATAACATAATTGACAGGTTGTCTCAATTGCTTGAACTTAAAAGTTACCAGGATTACAGCCAGGTTCTCAGCAAGCGACAGGGAGGTCACCACCAACATTACTGCTGCCAGGAGCCTGAAGTGCCAGGGCTGGATGGAGTCCAAGGGACGTCGGAAGGGATCCCAGCTGGCAGGACCAGAGGAACTGGGCAAGAGCGACTCATTCTCAAGTGCTCTGAATGCATCCATTTTTTTCTCCCAGTAGCAAAAATAATATTGTATTATATGTAAATAATATTCAGGAACAAAAGGAGAAGTTTGCTGTGTCCAACAGAAGTGTGAGCGGACTCTCCCTGCTTCTGCTTTCCAGTAACAGTCCAGGAAAAAAGTTTTGCTTGGAAGAAAGTTTAGCGCTGCAGAGTGAATGTGGGAACTGGGATTAGCAAGAATATTTCTTGGAGCAATCTCTGCCCCCTTTGCCCATCCTCTCCTGCCTCCTCCCACTGCGGCTGTGCCTTTATCTGTGGCAGAACCCAGCTGTGGAAGGACCTTCAGCACCGTAAAAATACAGCTTTTTTTCTTTTTTTTTTTCTTTTTTTTTTGCCAGTACGAGGGTGGAGCGATCTCCCCCACACCCAGCGACGGTGGGAGGCAAGGGGGAGGCTCTCTCGTGAATGATTTTCCTGAGAGAGGGCAGCCCTGGAGAGATGAACGCTGCAAACCACAGCACAAAACCATGCCCGCAGCTCAGGCTGGCTTAGAGCTCCCAGTTGAGTGAGTTTGCTCTGTGGAATTTCAGCTTCTATCAAGACATTACTGACGCCTTCCCTGATGAAGGCATAAGGATTATAATTGCAGCTTTAGCACTAAAATCTCAAAGAAGCACAGCAACTCTTTAAAGGTAGAGCTGGTAACTATGTTAAAAGAAATACAGCTTGGCAACTGACACCAGGAAAATTAAGTCATATATTTCTGATAAAAATGACTGGATATATCTGAACTCTTAACAATCACCAGCAGTCAGGGTTACTTGAGTCCATTTCCCAAGGTAGGTAGCACAGTCTCTGCACTCTCACGAGGTGTAACACAGTGACAGATATTCCAGTACTCCTGTACAGGGCTGCCAGTAATTATTCCACAAATTAAGAAGGTTACCTCAAAAATATACCAATCATTCAGCTGTGTTGTAACTGAGATAATTCTTGGGGACAGTAATCGTTAATCAGACCCTCAGAGTTTTAACCAGAATCAAAAATATAAAAGCAATCCAGTTCCTGTCTTGGAGAGTTCACACTTTGGACACACACCACGTACACTACATGAATAAATGAACAGTGAGACCAACAATGAGTAACATCTACCTGTCCACACAGTCCCCTGACTTCAGATTTGCTTTGGTTTGTACAGAAAACGTTAACACAGGCTTAAATCTTTCAGCATATAAGAAAGGAATCATAAGGTTTTCTGGACACTGGCAGAAAGAGTTATGCATCTAAAAATTCTGAAGTAAAAAACCGAAACACCTCCTACTTACCATAACCAAAAGAGCAAAGGTATTTTTTATTAGTTGGTAACTGAAAAGGAAAGAGACGGTGCTTAAGCAGATCAAATCCAGCAACAAAATTACTCACAAAATTATACTTATTCAGCAGGAATATTAAAAAATTCAAGTGCCATAAATAAAAGAAGGATCAACACACAGCAACAATAAAATGCCTCCAGACAGTCTTTGCATGACATGATTCAGTTTTGCTCCACTCCCTGCATGTTACAGTGGAAAATCCAAACTACCACTTTAAAATCAACTTTGAATATTACCTTGTTAGAAATGATTCATTATTTTAAATTCTTGCAGGTGTCAAGAATGAAATCAGGACTCTGAATTTAACATACAACAGGGAAGGTAGTATCTGGACTTCTCTAAGGCATAAATCTATTGATTGCACATTGAAACTCCTTTAGACAATGAATAACTATGGTTATCAGCTAATTTCTTGTTGTTTTAAGCTCTCGTATTGTTCAGATTGTTTGTATGAGTTATGATTCTGGTTACAGTTTAAATGCATTCTCTTTTATTTATCTTGGCGCTTCCTCTTTGTTTAGAATCCTTTAAAAATATTCCTATAACATCTTGATAGTCCACTTTGCTTGTTTTTCTTCTTCAGCAGGTCAGCTTTGCCACTGACAGCTCTTCTCAGGCTGTGGTTAAACTGCTGCTGGACGGTCAGGGAGGTTAAGGGGATGTGTAACTCACAGCATTGGTACGATATGCCCACAGTAATTCCAACTGTGTGACAAAATCGGGATGACAAGAACTGAGATCAAAATCTGGTGCCTGAAATTCTATGTGGCAGATGGTAAACTAGCCCTGAGTTTACCATTCCCACCAGACACAAGCAGGGAAACGAGCTGTAAAGTCAGTGTGGTATTTCAAGGGGTGCACTTGAACTGGTTCTCTCAGCTTTGGTCCCAAGATGCTGCCATCTAATGACAGCACTGTCCTTCACTCCTCAAAGGGATCAGGAAAGATTTGCTTTTGCCCCAGTAAGATTTTGGTTTAGTTACACTTTATCAGAGCAAACAGCATTTTCTGCTGAACGGATGTGTTGTGGGAATCTCACGTGAAGGATCCCACTTTTGATGTATCCAAAGTGGCTGCTGTGCTGTACAGGAACGCCCATCTCAGTGATGGACTGGGCTCCCACAGGGAAATTTTTGTTCTGGAAAAAGCCAAAGTCCAACCAGAGATCCAGGCACTCATCATTCCTGTGAGCAAACGGTGCTGACCCAGTGGCTTCCATCACACGTGGATACCTCATCCTGTCAGAGCCTCCAGCCTCTGGGCCACTGACTGGGCTGGGACACTGGCTGCACCGAGCTGGGGAGTGGGGACTAAAGCACAGGCAGGAAAAGCTGGTGACAGAAGAACCAGGTGCCCCACAAGCAGGTTCAGGACTCAGGAGAAGCTGGACAGCGAGTGCTCCTGGGGCTGGGTAGGTGGGGAGAAGCTGCAGGTCTGACAAGAGGAAAGGGTCAGCAAGAAACTTGAGGGGCAATTATCAATTTAAAACAAGCCAGATAGAAATCAGCCTTTCCAATTCTGAGTTGTGCTTTTTTTTTTTTTTTTAAATGTAAGATACTGAAAAACTCAGTAACAAATGAAGACTGATGAATTAGTATGGAATTAAGTGTATTTATACTTATTTTTCAGTATCTTATATTTGATAATGACATTCCAATTGCGTATCTCCAAAAGGGATGTAAGAACCTATTTTACTACAGGAGTTTTAAAAACATACAGTAAGGCCACATTTTGTTCTGCTCTCATAAGGGAGAAGCTGAAGAGAATGAACAAGCATTTAGTTTAAATTAGAAAATAAGCAGAAATTATGGTGGTTTATGCCTAGAGACTATTACAGACTACATTACAAATCCAGAAACTATAACTCTCAGATCACATAAGCAAATAAGCTTCTGCTGAGTCCAATTAATCACTGAGACACAAGAGGGCTGAGCCTGGCAGGGACCTCAGGAGAGCCAGGACAACCCATTTTTGTGCTGGACATCCCTTACCATAAAGGTTATTCTTATTTTCATGGTTTTTAAGTTATGAGAGTCATAAACCTAGTTAATTGGGGGCTACATTTAACCTTTTTATGCCTGGGAATGTTCAAGTAAAGCACCTGCAGGACCTACTGACTTTGCTTGACAATCCTCTTACAGGACTACTGGGATTAATCTCATTTACCCACTCTCAATATTTATGTCATTTACTTACTCTCCATAAAGGCCCATACTCATTTAGAACCTGTTGAAACTTCAGTGAGGAAAATGGGTTTTCTATTCAATGAAACTTTGTCTAAAGAAGAGCCTGAACATCCAAGATCCAATGCAAAAAATTATCAGTACAGTCAGCTTTACGAGTTGCTCCGGGTGTATCATCAAAGCATTTTTTTTCTAGGGATCAAGTTTGTGAGTGTGCCTGTACAAAAAGGACTCAGATGCTGGCACCTGGTTTTCAAAACTGATTTCATACATTTCTTTTTTTGTTTGTTTGTTTTTCAGCTGCAGCTTTATTTTCTCACAGCTACTGAAAACCAGCAATTGAACATTTGAAGTCTGTTCTCAGGAAACACTGAACGATCACAGTGGAAAAATTTTGTCCTGCCCTTTCAAGCGAGTTGGAGGAATTATTTTGCCCTCTTGCTCATTAAAAGAACGGGAGTGGAGGTTTCCTTTTGCCCAAAGGTAAAAGCTGTGTACAAAAGAGGCGTTCTACACTTGGAAAGATCCCAGCACAGCTGCAGGAATTTCAGTAACCAGCAATATATAACAAGGCTGGTATCTGAACAAAACACGTTCTATTAACTATGAATAAGAAACTAATGCCAATTAAAGCAAAAAAACACCAAAAGCATACTGAGCACCAGAAAAGGAAACAACTTGATAGCAGACTGTATTTACTCAGGGCATGTTAACAATGTCTTGCAGTTTGGGGCCTCATCTGAGCAGGTAAGACTCTGTTTACTTTATGATAACACATTTCTTTCCAAAGCCCGGTTAAACTCAGTTCCTTGAGGACTGGACAAAAGCAGTTCAGTAAAAGGCAATGCTTTCATACTGTTACTGATTCTGGCTGAAATTATTTTGCTGTTACTATGAATGGTTTTCCATGGGTTTTTGAGTTTTTCACCCCCTTGCTTTCACATGATACCAATATGTTAACACAGCAGTAAAAGAAATTGTTTTAGCAACAGGTATTGAAGTGACAGTGTCACTTTAATGAGAAAAAAACTCTTCAGTAGTTTGTTTTCCCTCAGAATTTGTATATTCCCCAAAAGCTCAGTGTGAATTGTTATCCAGTATATTCACTTGATGGTATAAATTAAAAAAACCAACCAGTTCATGTGATATTTCTTATTTAAGAGGATTTTTCTATTATGAAACCCTCAATCAGAGGAAAGAAGACTTAATCATGCAAGAAATCCTACTACCTTGAAGAGGATCATGGACATGAGAATCTTCGGTCTTAAAAAACATTATTTTAAAAAGTTTGTTATTAGACACATCAAACACATTTTCTTTGTACTGCAGTCCCTGAAGACAATATATGGCATTTGCCCTAAACTTAGCTCACTAAGGTGAGCTCCAAAAATGAATCTGTCCCCATCCTTGGTGCAGCAGGGATCAGTCCTTTTTGGGCCCTTGGGAGATCTCGAGCTGGCTCTGCCCTGAACAATTAACCTGCAGCAGCAAAGGGAACACAAAGACAGCAGAGAAAAATTAACCCCTCTGTGCATTGGGAATCCATCCTGT